GCGGATCGTAGATCCCCATAGCGCCTCGGCAGCAGCAGCAAATTGAGATGATGACGACACTTCGGTAAGTGGAGTTTCATTAAATCGTTCACTCGTTTCACGCATGATGTACCTTGCCTTCAAATACCATCAACCATTCTCGTGTAATATTGCGAGCCACGGTCCAAGAGCTGCAGGCGCCCGAGCAGCCAGCGGCTATCCAGCGCAGCCGGGATGCGGCCCATCGAGAGCAAATTCTTGCACTTACGCAAAGACTACCAGAGACAGTTGGCGGACTGTCCCTACACTTTCGGCCCAGATCCCGAGAATGCGAGGAGCCTCCCGCCTCGATCTTCGCTCCACTACCCGGTCAGTGAGTACAATGATTGTCGCTTTAGCTTGTGCGGCCACCCTACAGTGTACTAATTACATCACTTGGTCTTTGTGCGAGCCGCCGTCGGTGGGTTCGAACCCGACTCAAGTGGTAGCCCTCCACTGGGTCCTTCTCCACCGCATGCGGCCGGGCACCTTACGAGCTTCCCCACGCAGCCAGCACGTCGGCCTCCTTCACAAATCAGGGTACTCCTCCCCGCCGCAGCGAGGGGCACTCACGGGCCTCAGTGCGTCTGTCCGCAGACAGAATGGGGCGTCTTCGGCAAGACGGTTCGGCCCCGTAGTCGGGTTGGTCGCAACGGGAGCAAGGTGGGGGCACGACTCCGAGTTGGTCTCCGTGGGAGCAAGGTGGTGGGGGCTCTGGGACCCCGGGGGACGGGCGCCTCGAGCTAGGTACTACACTTGTCGCTTTTGGACCTTGTATGGATGACTATGTATGGATGACGATCGACATTTGTCGCTTGTGTATGGATGACTTGGAGGATATGTGGGTACCATGCTATATATGTGATGTGCGGATGAAAATGGTATTTTGTTGCTATATATGTGGGTCATATGCTATATATGTGATGTATGTGTTGAAATGTCGTGGAAATGCAAGCAAAACAGAAAAGGAAAGAAAAAAAAAATTCCCGTTTTGCCGATGGTCATCCGTCGGCAAACCCGAGATTACTTGTCGGCCAAATCCGTGTTTGCCGACGGCTTCCCGAGCCGTCGGCAAAATGATCATAACTTCTTCGATGGCCGGTACCGTCGGCAAAAATAGTTTGTCGACGATCGTGGCCGTCGCCATAGAAATTCGAAAAAAAAAAAAAAACGCTTTGCCGATGGTCGTGCCGCGTCGGTACCGTCGGCAAAAGCCGCCACCGACTTGACGGCCGGTAGCGTCGGTGACGTGGCGCGCTTTGCCGATTCTTGATGATGTGGCCATCGGCAAAGCTTTGCCGATGGCTTTGACAGTTGGCCGTCGGCAAACCTCCTTTTGTCAAGAAATGTCTACCGATGGCTCTTTGCCGACAAATTACGTCGGATTGCCATCGGCAAAGCCTTTGTCGATGGCAATTCGGACTTCGCCGATGGTCGGGCCATCGGCAAACAAGCCGGATCCGGTAGTGACATCAGCATCACAAGATAAAAGTCAGCAAGGAGAACGAATGCATCACAGCAAGTTGCTGGATCTATGCCGGAATGTGTCGACGTACGTGCCGAATTCCCTGGGAGGAGTAGTGCAGTTTACTGTTGACATCTTGCCGGTGCCGGCACCTTCAGGGCATGCACAGCGAACTGTAACCAAAACGCTCAAGCGCAGACAGCAGCACTGCGACTCTGAGCATGCTTTCCAGAAATCCCGCTCATGATCAATAGTTACGGTCAGGACGATCAATAGTTACACACACTTACACAGCTGGCGTGTTACTGGTACGTACTCCTACTAGATTTAGTTTGGATTTGGCATCATTAAGAAGCAAGCCGGCAACAATGATCACCAAATTAATAGCAAGGAGTACAGTACGTTTTTCTTTGCTAGGGACGTTTGTACTAACTGTTGACCCGACAAGAGTACAGAGATAAACGTTGGTTTCCGCGACTTGTCTCTAGTAGTACCTGGTTGCAAACACGACGTAGGATCATGGTTTTAAATAGCTGGCTAAGCCATTTAGCTTTCTACATCTCAAAACAGGTTATAGCCGGCTATATCAGACTATAGCGACAGCTAATGTCTAACTTGTATATAGGAAAACTTAGCTAAATCCTTCTCAAACAGCTATAGTCGGAGATTGCTGAGGCCGTAGCCGAAGATTTAAAACTTGGGTAGGATCCATGTGCGTTGGAGCGAAAACTAGACGTACAGGGCACCTGGCTTGCTTCGGCACCTGACAATCTTCTCAATCTTCCCGATAAATGTTCCCCTCCCTACCGTAATCTTACCAACAATCACATCATGTCATAGTGATTTGACGTGACAGTAGCAACTGGAATGCATTTGCATGCATACTGCTCCAGAAATTACGGACATCGGTCCAGGCGTGAGGTCCTGGCAAACCCTCCCAATCGGCCCGTTGATTGGGAGGCCGGTTCATGGGCACGCAGATATATGTTGCTGCTCTGAAGAATTGCGACGAGTCACAGTCAGTTGGCTCTTGGCTGTTTAGTTGCGGGTCCCTTTTGGTGCGGGGGTGGGATTGTGGGAAGACGTCGCGCCGGGGGGAGATGGAGGCGACGTGGGGAGGAGAGGAGGCTCGCGGCGAAGGAAGCGGGGGACAAGGACAACGGACACGGCCCACGCTCTCGTTGCCGCGGCCGGCGGCGTCGTTTGAGAGGTGGGGCCGTCTGCTCTGAGTGGGGATCGCGAGACTGGGGGACCGAGGGCAGCGCGGGCGCCGGAGGCCTCCGGAGCGCGCGTGCGTTATCTGCTGGACTGCTGCCACGTAACGTGCGAGCCCGGGTTCCACGACAAGTATTAACCGCCTGGCCTTGGGCTTCTCGCGACCCACGTGATCAACTGGGCCGAGATAGGATAAAATCTGGACCGAGGGCGTCGGGCGAGCCTCTTCTTCTTTCTTCCCCCGCGAGCCGGCGCCCAGGAACCACGCGCATGCGGGCCTGCGGGGTATGCAGTGCGCAGGCTGCTGCTGTTTGCCTCGACGTCCCCTACCAGCCTTCAGGCTAGAGGTTACCACTGTCCCACACAAGCGACCCACTCCAGCGTTCAGCAGGATGGAATGATGGAGGATGGTCGTTTCACGGGCTTGGTGCACTGTGCCTATCCCATCCCATCCCATCACGCGCCAGCAGCTTTTGCTGGTGCAAAGCTACGCTATCCCGGCTTGGAGGACTGGCTGTCTGCATCGCCTGGGCCCACTGGGCCTCTGCATTGGAGGTACACGCGGGCCATCCCCGTAGTCACGGGCTATAACAATTCCGCGGAGCTGAGCGCCTGAACAACAATGTGGTCTTTCTTTAGAACTCCTAGCATACAGTATTTGCTTAGTCAAACTATCTCATGTTCAACAAAATTATAAATATTTTTATATCATACATATTTGAAGTCATAAGCATCGATATTTTTTACTATATACATATATTTTGTCAAACTTTAATAGTCTGACTAGCTCCAAAACTAGAGTTTTCACCCTTTTGGGAGGAATGTAGTATGTGGTAGAATACCATTCAAAGTACGTAACTTTTATTTTGTGTGGGCCCAACTACGCTAATAGTTTTCTCATTGAATTATACAGTATACATCTCACTATCGTCGCAGGTAATAAACATCTACGATGAAGAGGTTATTAGGTCTCGCAAAAAGGGGAAAATGAAAGGATGTGTTGTTAGGTCACAAAATCCATCACTAGAAAATATTAGCCTCATTGTTGATTCCTTGTGGGGACTTACTCTTTGTTGATAACACCCTCATTGATTCCAGTGAGTTCAGGCTTTATATATCAAGTGATTTCAGCCTCATATATTATGGTTACAAAGGGATCAAATAGACTCTAGAGGCATGGTACTATGTGGTGGTTTTGCAAGATGACGATGCTACCATATCAGTCATTTTGTGGACGATGAAGTTAGGTGCGCCTAGTGCTTGGCAAGCATAACTCCTAGAATATTCTTGGTGTGGAAGATCTAGCTGCAAGAAATGGGCGACAAAGAGGAAATGACTAGACAACGCTAAAGGTGAGGTTTATTTAGGTAGCAACACACACTGAGGGATGCATAGACGGATTTATTTGGATCCCTTAATCCTTGTTTGGTTGTTGTCGGATTCACCTCAATCCATATGTGTTGGGATGGATTGGGGTGAAATTTAGTTCAAGTTCCACATACTCCGATGCATCCCAACACATGTGAATTGATGTGAACCCAACTACATCCAAACAAGGCCTTATAAGTAAATAATACATGCATTAGCCAGTGGAAACCAGCTTACAACTATTTGTTATTAGCGGGTGTTGATAAAGCATTACATGGCATATGAGTTGTGGATCCAAATAATGCCTTAATAAACTGTTAAAGCTAATTAAGAAATCCAAATAGACCCTAAGTAGGGTTACTAAGGGAGGCAAATAGAGGGACAGAGGGGGAGGGGTGCATGCTACCTATGTGACTTTAGTCACTCGACATAGATCTAAGATTTCAAATACTTGTCGTTTGGAGAAGGAAAACACATGTTGTAATTGCGCTAGAATCCTAATAAAAGTAGATCACGAGAGATTAACCAAATGACTTTATTCTTCCTCCAAATTAAAGACGGGAACAATTAACAAATCGAATAAGTATTACACGTTCAAGTGCTTGATTTTACATACACAACAAATGACTCTCAACAGATTACATGATTCGTAAATATAAAAACTAGAATCAACACTCCTCTTGTTCTTCGAGAAGATGTCGCGAGCTCTTATGAAGAAATGATCAAATACAAAACAAAATGGAAATTCAACAAGAGACAATACATGCGAACAGACAAGTATTTGGCCGGAATGGTTCTACAGGTTTGTAGAACCCCGAAGGTGCGTGCACAAATGAGACAGAAGAGATCAGCAGACACAATGCATGTGTGCCATGCAGGGTGCGTGCTTAATCACGTACGTGAACGGCTACACGAGCGTGGAACCGCGCGGAGCTTACGCACAGATGTAGCCCTTGGGCACGCATTTGCCACAGTAGTTGACGAGGGCGCTGAGCTTGATAGGGACATCGATGACGACGCCGAGCACGTTGGCTTTGATGGCCGTGCAGAGGCAGACGGCGGCCTCGAGGTCTACAAGGCCTTTGATGAGGGTGCAGCATGGCTCAGCAGGCACCTTGCCAGCCTCGCCTTTGACGAGGCCGAGCACATCGGCGCACACGCCGAACTTGAGCGCGTTCAGCGGGCACTTACCGCGGATGGAGGGGTGGGGTAGCAGGAGGCGGCGGCGGTGGCGGCGTTGGGGTCGGGCAGCTTCCGCAGGCGTTGGCCACTGTGAAGAACAGGAGGTTGAGAGCCACGAAGAGGACGGCCTTGGATGCCATGGCTCAAGTTGCAAGCCCCTGCCCTGCAGCGCACTGCTAGCTCGTGGATTATAAGTGGAAGCAGAAAGAAGAGACGATTATGCTTGTGCTAGCTATAGGAGTGAGATGGGATGGTTTAGGGAGGGGAGTATGGGTATTTATAGGAGAAACATGAGACCTTATGTAGCTCTCCTTTTCTGTATATATGTAGCTACCACATGGCCCCTTATAATAATGAGGTAAATTTGCACGAGCTCGATCTCTCGTCTACTACTCCCAATCATATATCATGTCTTTTTTTTTTTTCAAAGCTGCTATGTCATGTATAAGGCCTCATTTGGTACAGAATAAGCAATCACTGTCGATCCTATTACTACTGGAATTTTAAAACCGACACTGATAGATGCATCACTGCCGGTTTCGTAAGAAAAAGGCTATCACTACCGGATTTTCTAACAAACCGACAAAGGATGATAGATATTATCACTACCGGTTGGTAATAAAAGCCAAGCAGATGATGTCTATCACCGTCGGTTGCATTTCACAGACCGCAAGTGATCCATAGGCTCCGGACCCGAAATTTTTATTCATCCCGTTAACTCGTTCGTGCACACCTTTCTTCATCTCTCCCACTCTCTCTCCTCTCTCTCCCGAAGATATTTCTCCGCTCCTCGGACCTCCTCCTCCTCTAGATTTCCCCAAATCTCCTCTCCAAATCCACCTCATTGTGGCAGCCGACGAGCGGCCGGGGGCCTTGGCCATGGTGAAGGCATGAGGCCATTGTGGTGCGAGGCCACCGTGGTGCCATGAGGCGTTGGGATCCCGACGTGGCTTCTTCCTCCTGGCCTGGCGAGCGGATCCACCCGCGACGAGCTTCTTCCTCCCGGTGGACGGCCTTGGCCAAGCTTTCGGGTGACCAGCGCAAGCGTGGGTGGGCGGGCGACCACGGGCGGCTCGCGTGGATCCACCTCGGCGGCGGGAGGATGAGAAGCGCCGGTGGCTCACTTGTACTCTTTCTCTTCCCGGCAATTTTTCCTTCCGGTGCTCTTTCTCCTCTCTCACACTCTTTCTCCTCGATCTGTCTTGGGGGCGGCGAATGGGGCGCGGCTTCAGATCTTATGTTTGAACGCAGAGCGGCGGCCTCGGGCATGAGACCAAGCTCACCCTTCCCTGCAGAATCTCCACTCTCTCCCCCTCCCCTCACTTTATGTTGTATGAATCAATTTGTGGATGAGTTGATTTGTGATGTGTTGAACCCTTCTGTGTGATGTATGAATCGATTCGATTTGTGGATGAGTTGATTTGTGTTGTGTTGAATCCCTCCTCATTTGTCTGTGATGTATGAGTTGTTTCTTGTATGAACTGCTTGATGGAGCGATGGTGGGGGGAGCCATCGAGCATGGCGGTGGCGGCGGTAGGCAGCGAGCTTGCTTGCTGTACTTTTTTGGTTTTTTTAAAGCTTATCACTGCCGGGTGAAGTGCCGACACTGATAGCCAAGAGGCATCACTGCCGTTACGCCACTGTCAGTTCAAAATCCACCAGTGAAGTGGGTTTTTGAACCGACAGTGATGTGAAGAACTGGCGTAGTGCGACGTAGCTAGGTTTTGCTACATAAAACGGCTCCGGCTTCATGTTTAGTGCCAAAGCGTTTCTCCTCGTGGCCTCGTTTGGTGCAGCTCATCCCACGCATGACGGGGCGGAGCCGTGTGGGTGCCACAAAGAAATAGGTCGTAAGTAAGATATATACAACTCACGTTTGACTCCCTCCATCTTGAAAGAAATAAATTTCGATATAATTTTTTCTCAAAAATAACTTTTCACAAAAACTTAGGACATTGCCTCCTAATACTGAAGCTAATCATCGGTGATACAAATGATAACTACCAGATCTAGGAGATATCCTCTGAGAAAGAGGAGACAAGAGTATATGCGTTTTTTGCCAACGTTCTTGTATATTTTTTTTGCAAAGTTATTTATCACGGGACAGATGGAGTACATAATATCTTAGTATATAGCTTATTAGAAATCTCAAGTCCATGAATTGTTACATCTCTACCGGCATAGGGCCCAAAGACCATACAAGTTTTCCTAGTCTTAAATATATAGCTCAAGTTGTATCTCATCTCGAGGATACAACTAATTAATTCTTCTCTCACTTCCTTGTTAACTCTATGAAATCTCACCAAAATATCACATGTGCCCCTTGTCATGTATGACATAATAATAATGCACTAGAAATGGCCTAGTATTAGTCCATTCTTTCATCGCATGCCATTTGAAAAGCATTAATATAGGTAAATACACCACCTTGGAACACAAGTTGTATATCTCCACCTGAGATGAGATGTGGTGGTTCTATCAATTCTATTCCACAAACCAGAAAGGAAAAAGAAAAAGATAATAAGAAGTGAGAAGATAATGGACAATACAAAATGCCATTTCTATCCAAACACTCCCTATATTTATCCACCATCGAGCTAGTATGTGCACGTAGATGTATGATTGTTTGGTTCACATAGCCCCTTTTTTTCACATGTCTTTTATGTCCCTTGTAGATGTACCAAGAGATAACAAAATACAGCCGTACATAAAAATTTGGTACTTCTATCCTTTTTAACCATATCTGTATGTTTTGGCTCGTAATAAGTAGAAGTACGTCCAGTTCCTGGCCCACTAATGCAAGGCGACCACAGAATACTTGGGCCACCTCTCCCCAAGCTACTGGTGTGGTAGCCCAACGGATGAGCATTCCTAAGTTGCTTGTGCAGTTGTGCTTACTGTTCAGTGTCGCTCACAACACTGGCCGGGCTTTCTCATTCCTGTCGACTGTCGTTGTTGTTAAGTTCTAGGCACACACAGTACTCGATCGATATGTGTCGTATAGCTCTGCCTCTGTTTGGGATGTTAAATGAAAGAGCACATAAACATGGCAGCGAAGTGAAAAATTGGTCTCACTCTGGTAAAAGGTTATCTCATTCCATGCCGTCCCAACAGATATGTACTTTTACTACTCAAGTGCACCTAATCTGAACGAGACGAGAAACATCATATGCTCACTGTAAAACTGTTCATTTGTACAGGCCTACAGGGCTGGGCACAGCAGCAGCATATATAGGAGTATGCACGGGTATCTACTACCTCCCAAGTACGAAGGAGGTGGACATGCCAGTGAACCACACGCAGTGTAATCATCATTCATCCATGCATGACTATTGACTAACTACCCTAGCTAATTGTTTTTGCATTTCTGATCTTTTTTCCTTTTTTTTTGGGGGGAAATTCTGATCTTTATTTAATTTCGCTTGCTCTGACTGATCAAGCCGGTAGGCAGAGTAAGCCCATGTGGGAGTGTGAGCCTGGGAGGTGGACGACGGAGGCCCGCTGGGCGCTGGGCGAGCGGTACCGTACCGTTGCTTCGAGCCTTGAGCTGGCAGTAGTGTCTCGTGGCAAGGAAAAAAGCTGAGAGGATGGCTTGGAAGCTAGCCCGGAGTCCCGGACCATGGGGGCCGACGCGCCCGACGCATCGCCATCATCTTGACCCCCTGTCAGGGGCCCAGCAGCGTCGCCTCCCAGGCTCCCAGCTGTGCCGTCCCCGTCCCGTCGCCAGCTGCTCGGTTGAGTAGGAGGAGTACACCACACAGCAGGCGAGGTGGCCGGGCGATGGGGTACGCGCGAGAGAATCGGCCGGGCGGCGCGCTCACGGGCCGCACAGTGCGAACGAACAAACCAGCGTGCGGTTGTTGATGGTTGCCGTGGGGTTCTCGGCCTCAACGGCTCCACCTCAAAACTCTATTCACGGTGACTGCCGAGGCATCCGCGGAATGCTATAGGATTCGTATTTTAGCCGACTTCAACGACTGTACTGAAAATCAGACATTACTGCATGCATGCATACCGCGGCATACCGCATACTCCTACAGTCTACTCACCTGAGGCCCATTGGATTTGACGATCATTCGACAGTTGGCGCGTCCCAGTCTCAGTCTCGTCAGGGTTACCTAGCTCCCAGCTGGTCCCGGTAGGCTGTAGTGCAGTGGTCTGTCGGTCGGTCCTCCCTTTTGTTCTGCACCGTGCCCTGGAAAACTGCTACGGTGTACGTACGCCACACGTACGCACGCACGAGATCCGAAATATCTGTCATGACTGGAGCCCTCGCCGTCGTATGCAGCGTCGTTTGGCTTCCCGGCCAGTCCGTCCTGAGCAGTGATCACGGGTTGCTGGACGTACGCACGCATCCATGGTTTGGCATGGTATAGGTCCATGCACGGCTCCATGCGTGGTTTTGTTGGTATATACGTTTCGACCCACCGCCCGGCGACTATCCACCGATAGAAAAGAACGTGGGTGTTTCGACAGATCATCAACTGTGGGAACGAATAAATTTGTGGCCGCCCGGAACAGGGATCCGAGATCTGGATCTAGCCTCCATTATTCTTCAGGATTATATAGTCTAGAATACTCGATCTTATCGCGCGGCGGGCTTCGTCGAAACAGCGAGCGGCTGTGGATTTGCAGGGAAGGACGGGATGGTCGAGACCATGGGTGTGTGTTGTGACTTGTGTATGTGATTCTGTGCCCCGATCGTTTGGCTGAAGACATAGCTAAAAGTATCGTTCGCTGTTTTATTGTGAGAGAAAAATACTATTCGTTATCTGAAAAAGTACGGTTGATAAGCTTAAGTGAACGAGGCGCTGGTTGCTTTGAAGCATTCTGGCCGGGAGTTTGGACTCAGACCTACGCCTCCAGCAGCTTCTGCGGTGGTCCTTGGATTGCCTCTGACGATGCGCGTGGTGCGTAGATACTAGAACTAGACCGTAGAACTTGTTTAGCAGCCTTTTAGCATCAGCAAAGCATGCACTGTTCATTCAACGAAAGAAACTAAAGCCCCGTTTAGATCCAGAATGTAAAGTTTTGGAGTGTCACATGGGATATCGCATAGGGTGTTCAGATACTAATAAAAAAATAAATTACAGAGAGCCTGTTCGGTTGACTGGTTCATATCGTTGCTGCTTCATAAAGAAATACTGCTGGCTGATTTATGTCAGAGAAAAAT